GTGTAATTATTGAAATAAGGTTCCACATATGAGTACGTGTATGTGTGTTAGGCCGATTTATCCAATAATTGAATTTAATAGAAAATTGTCATCAACCCAGCTCAAATCATGAAATGACCAACCACCACTTCCCATTTCACTGACAGACAAAAAATATACGAAAACGGCAGGGGGAAATTGTAGCATCAAATGATGTGTCTTTGAATAAACACAACACCAGCACAGCATCCGAATTGATATTTCCGGATGTATCAGCCACACACCACATGCACACACACCAGCACTCATACACGTGTAGGCCTGATTAAATGAAACTTTCCTTGGAGGGGAAGGGACAATGTTCAATGTCAAACTTTATACCGGATAAACATAAAGCCAAACACATGCTGTGGTGTAAGTGTGTGTGTATGTATATATGTCAGAATGTATTTGCGGTTGAATCAAGCAGGGGAACCTACAGAGCTAAGAGTATTAGATACAAATGTCTAGAAACGAAAAAAGACACGAACTCTTCGCCATACTTACAGGGTCATTACATTTAAGGCGCCCCACACACAAAAAAGCCAATCCCTAGAAATGCGGTAAGGAATTCAAATGAGTTCTCATTTCATCATCAACGCTTCGAAGCAGCCAACAGCGACACGAACAAAATCATAGACAACCAGAGCAGAGCCACCACTAAGACTGCCAGGCGGCTGGTGTCACGTAGCAAAACGTTTTGTTTTTATTTTTGTTGTCACTGCATGGGAGGTGACACAATTTATTTTCTGGCTTTGATTTCCTTTAAAGCGAAGATAATTTTATTTTCTCAAGAATATCAAGTTCTTTTTTTCTCCTGTTCCTGTAAGGGTGTGAGTAGGAGTGTCAGTGGATGTGTGCGTGTGCATGTGCGTAGTCCTGTAAACACTCACGCGCATCTTAGCCATTAAGCATTTAAGCCTGATTGATTTTTTACATTTTCTCAATGCGAGGGAATAGCATGCCTAAAGTAGTTTTATTTTTATGGATTGCATTCGCCTGAATGATGACCAGGATTGCTGGAATATTGCGCTCAGAAAAATAATCAAAATTCTGTCCAATATTGTATTGTTTTACAGAATATATGTAAGAGAAATTGTTGATTTTTGAATTTTAAGAATTAATACGTAAAAGGTAAGAGTGAGATGCTTTCACATTCTCAAGAGTTAGAAATAGAAAGTACTTACATAAGTACTATTTTTACATCATTTATTGACACCATTTTCGTAAGAATAATAAGTTTTATGCTCGACGTTTTAGTAATCTCAATGTCTCATCGATGTAAGACCCTAGGCCTCTTCGAACAAAATCCGTTTCAAGAGATTCGCAGTCATTCTAGCGATTTAAGTCTGTTTATCTGGCTGGTGCCCACAATAACTTTCGAAGGAATGTCAGATGTAGTCTAATTTTTTTTAAAATCAGATTGTATTGTTCTAAAGAGTGTCCGAACTAATTGAAACCATAGCAAAACAATAGAGGTAGACTTATTTGCCAAATCAAATATGACAAACCTTTTCTGAAGTACTCGACTATAAACGTATGAAGAGTATCATCAAAAATAAAAAATTATTTTCGCATATAAGAACAGTTATATGTTCCTTATCTTAGGAAGACGAATGTTATTTATCTTGTCTTAAGCTTAAACAAAATATAAAAATTTTTAACCCTTAAACTGCATCTTAAGGATATATTCTCGGTGCTGTTAGTTCTTGTGTAATTCCGGAACAACGTTTCATTTCAAGCCTGTCTTAAAGGACTAAACTTCAGAGAAACTAACTGAAAAATGTTGGTAAAATCTTCGGGGATTATGGATTATGTATAAAAGGACATATTTCGCAGATAATTTTTGTAACGGCCAAATTCGGGATGACAGTCACATACCAGTATTATCTTGTACTTGTTGGTACTTGATACTTTGAAACAAAATTCAACCATGCCATAGGCAAACCTTACATTACTTATGAGGCCAAGTTTTGAGATTATATTTTTCCTTGACTTTTATACCCTCTAAAAGGACTGAAATTGACAAAATATTTGGTAGGAAATAAATCTAAATTTCTTGCCCACATATTTAAGGAAAAACTACTACATCTAAATTCAACAATTTATGGACATCAAATTTTGTAGATGTGCATTGTAATTTGTATATCAAATCGGAATTTGATTTTGAATGGAACCAGCCATCACCATCATAATTATACCCTCAGCCATATGGCTAGAGAAGGTATACATCGAAATAATAGTTTTACACCCCAGGTCTCCTTAGATTAAATCCGTTACAGAACATTTAGAGTCGGTATATATCGTAATATTATTATCAAACTTAGACAATAGACAATATATTCCCCCAAAAAACTTGAACTTTTCAAAAAAAAAAATAAAAACAAATTATTGCTCAGAAAGAGAAAGAATAATCCGATTTTGCTCCAACTTTGCAAAATCTTAATATTTGCAACACTGCTTAGTCAGGTACGAAAATAGGTAATTCCATTAAGTACCTCCCCCACAAAGGGGTCACAATTTTGAATAATTATAACTCTTATAAAATGTGATGTAAGTGTCTTCAATATACATACATCACAATATTTTTATTAACCCAAGGTCTGGTGTGAAGATGGAATATTTCGGTCCACTCCTTCTTGTATCTCCCCCACAAAAGGTAGAAATTTTGAATATCCATGATGCTCATAAAACGCGAAATTAATCTCCGACTTTCATTCAGACTTGGCACGTCTCAATATTTTTATCAACACAAGATCTGTTATAAGGATGGTAGAGATCAGACCATTCCTTCGGGTACCTCCCACACAAAGGGTCAAAGTTTTGAATATCCAAAACGATTATAAAATCCGAAATAAGCATCCCGTTCTCTTCATATTTCACACATCCCACTATTTCTGCGAACACAAGATCAGTTGTGAATATGGAATATATCGGTCCACTCCTTCTAGTACCTTCCCCACAAATGGTCGAAATTTTGAATATCCATGAAGCTCATAAAACTCGGATATGAGATCCGATTTCATTCAGTCTTGGTACATTTCAATATTTCTATCTACACAAGATCTGTTACAAAGACGGTAGAGATCGAACCATTCCTTCTAATACCTTCAAATTTAACATATCAAAATATTTTTGCTAACGCAGGATCTGTTGTAAAGTTGATATATATCAGCAGCTATAGCTATATACAGACAGCCTTTTAGGCTATATTTGATTGTACATGCAACTAATTTGGGCATATATTATGCATTTGGTGCACAATATATATAAAAATGGAGATATATCTAAATGTGGTCCAATTATCACCAATTTTAATAGGATTCTTCCTAACAAATGAACGATGCAAAATATCATCGCAATCGAACAATAAGTGCAGCCTGAAATTTGCTTTCAAAAAATTCATGGACAGACGGACGGACAAACATAAATCGGCTCAGAGTGCCTTACGAAATAATTAGACCTTGGACTAAATCCGTTTCAGAAGTGAATCTAGTGATGTTCGTCCGTCTCTCTGGTAGGCACTATAATTCACGAAGGGATTATGAGATTTAGCCCAAATTTTTAATAATAATGAAGCTCATAAAACGCTAAATCATCATACTATTCCTCTCTAATTTGGCACATCCCATACCTATCAACATAAGATCTGCTGTGAAAATGAAATATATTGGTACACTTCTTCTAGTACCTCCCCCACAACGGGTCAATATTTTGAATAATCATGAAGGTCATAAAACGTGAAATTAGAATCCGATTCCTCTCAAACTCTATAGACCCCAATATTTCTGGTACATCACTCATATTTCAATATTTTTCAAAAATGATCACCTTTCTCATTAAATCCAGTCTCATCGCTCAATAAGAATGTTGTACCTTTCTTAACCTTAGAAGAAAAATCCTAATATATCTCTGTCTGGGTTCAAACTCTGGAAACCGTTATATTCCTGAGAATCAAGAATCTGTTCAAGATAAACGGGTTCTTTCTGACACTACGGTCTACTCCGCCTTATCCCTAGGTAAACATCTCCATTCTTCTTCTAATAAATAAATTAATAAAAAGTAGTACCCTCAGCTTTCGTCACATCACACATTTTTATATCCAGAGCGCCATCTTTATCCTGAACAACTTATTATATTATCATAAGTTATCCGAGAAAAGAACTTCATATGGCAGGAAAGTTTTCCAAAAAAGTTCAATAGTAACTTTTCCTCAAGTTTTTAACTTGTACTAAAAACTAAAAACAAATCAAAATCTAATAACTTTCACTTTCTAATATTAGTACAAAAGCTCAGCAGGACTTTTCATCACAAACTTACAAAAAATGTATCGGAGCTTAATTGCAACCTCCAAAGCTTTTCATAAAGTTGCTGAAAATCTACCACAGCACATGTACTATCTTTGAACTTGGAATAACTTACCACGGAACTAATGTTGGTGATGAGACGGAACACAAAATAACCCCAGAGCACGCATGTGACACTTTAGGGGAGATTTAAGGCAAGAGATAAGGGATTTTTTTTGCTCTCTTCCTCTCTTTTGCAAACTCTAGCATGTGGGAGAGTTGAGTGTGTGGGAGAAAGAGAAGAGTACAACATTGAGTGCGAAAAAACACATGAAGGGTAATTAAAACGACAACCACTAAAATGTCAAGGAATGTCACACGGACACAAAGAAACAGAGTTGCCATATGATTGGATAAGTAAGCAAGCAGCAGTAGTTGTGGGGGATTAAAATAATTTATAGGAGTTGTAAATTTGAGTTACTCAATAAAGCAATGTATGTGAATATTTATTGTGATTTTCATAATCTGTTTTTATTTACATTTCATCCTTATCTCCAAATTACAACCATGTGTGGGGCTGCCATAAAAGCTTTGGCTGGCCATTAAATAAATCGATTTCACCATACATGCGCAGTGAGTCTCACAGATGCGCAAAATATAAGGAATAATCAGAGCTTTTTTCTTCAGTAGGACTATCATTGGCTATATTACCTACAAACGCTTATGAACATCGACCGTGAACGTTTATAAAAATCGAACGAACAAAATAATATTTTTTTGCTGCGCTTTACTAAATTTAAGAAAAAAGGTGATTAGAAAATTGTCTAAACTGTGTTAAAAAATTGCAAATCCATGGAAATAGTGCTTTAAAATTTGTTAACTACATTCTAAGTTTGTCAAATTAATGTGTGCAAAAGAAAAACGAAACTTCTTGAAATGAAATACTAAAAAAAAACCCCAAACCCCCATAGAAATGTGAAAAATTATACATGATTTTTGTGTAGATGAAAATCGAAGAAAAAGAAAGATATATTGCAGCCATATAAAAGAAAGAATTGTGTGAGATATATCCAAACGAAACGAAGGATGACAAGAAAAAAATTGTGTATCAGCCTTAAGAAAAGGCAATGCCAACCAAACCAACCAAACATCAGCCTGCGACCAACATTTTCTATATTCGGGGTATACATGCTAACGAACATCAGAAAGAAAGAACGACACACATATACGCAGTCATTCAGCCAACGAGCCAGGCAGTCAGGCAGGCAGCCAACCAGCCATCACAACACCCCCCGTTTTGTTGTACCAAAGACGAAAAAACGGGGCCACAAAGTGAAGGAATTTTTTGTGTGTTAAATAATACCCTACTAATAAGGCTAGCTAACCAAAACCGAAAAAGATCTAATCAGATTTTGTTCTGAATAGATTCAGAGAAAAAGACACAAGGAGAACAAAAAAAAAAAAAAAGAAAAAGGATATGGTAAAACTCAGGTCAACCTAGAGCTATTGATTTTTTTCGAAACAAAACTAAAACTGAAAACATAAAATCATTGCAGGCACAAAAACCTACAAAGGATATTTTCAATTCCAAAAAAAAAAAAATATTTTAGCTTTCAGGCTATGCCTCTTTAATGGCAATTCACTTTTAATTCTCCAAGTCCCTGTTTTGTGAAAGCAAGAGTTTTTTCATTAGTGGGGGATTATTACCAATATTCCCACATTAAAAAGTAAATCATTATTTTTTTATTTCATTTCGTTCTCCAGTTATTTTTTCGTCGTAACAAAAACACTGGAACACCAACAACAACAAAGCTGAGAGTGAAAAAAAAAAGAAACGAAAAGAGCTTTACTCTCACTCTTATTTATGTATTGGTATTTTGGGGGCCCCTCACTTGAGCAGTTCGCTATGTGCTCTCAATTTACTCTCACATAGCAAATACATACACATTTCAAATACACACACCAACACATTGTGACACAGGACCATCAATTAAGCTACAATCCACCAACAACTTTGGAATTTACAATTAAACAAACAACAACAGAGGGAAAAAATCATGAGGAAAATTTTTTGAAGAAAAACAACAATAGTCGAGGAATGTGTGTGAGAGAGAGAGAATACATGTAATGAACATAGAAAAATCATAAATTAAAAGGACTAAAACTGGGGTGGAGTCGACAGTGATACACCCTACAGGCTAACATGATAAAAATAATGTCCTATTTCGAAGTTGCGTTTTAAACACTAACTTGAGCTACAGGAATTTGACTTGGGATATTTTTTTTTTATTCTATACAAACCATTTGTTGGTCAGATGGGCGTTCAGTTAGTTTATATTAATGTTTCACGTGACCTCTATTGAATGATATATTGAAGAGTATATCTCGTTTAATAAAGAAGAAGAACTTCCGGTTGGTTTGAATCCATGATCTGGAATTAATTGCGGACATTTAATATATCGGTACTTTTAATATTATTCATTTTCCGATACATATTCGTCACTATTTGTCTAGACTTATCTGAAGTTTTGTCTAATACTAGTTAAATCCCCTTATCGCGTAAGCCATAATTCCAGTCATATTTCAATACTCTATGATAAATTTAATACTTTTCCGACTGTCTACAGTAAAAATTTTCGATAATATCCCATTGCCTTCCTCCTCTAAATTAACCAAAAGTCATAATTCCAGTTATATTTTTGAACATTGTACGAAATTTGCTAAGCAATTTTCCAACCACCTCCTTATCTAAAAGTTTCACACTCACAGCGGTCCCTATATCAAAATTTATAATTTCAACTCCATTCGTAACCGAATATACCAATTCTGGCTTTTTTCCTAAACTACTTTCCAAATTTAGTCCAATTTCCAAATTCATTTCCCAATCTAAACTCTTCGCACTCTCGCATTTCTAAAGTCACCTTCTTATTTCAGTCTTATTTCCCAACTTTAATTGCTATATTTAGTTAAGATTTAAGCTTTATCACCTAAAATAAGACTTTAAGTTCGGATTTTCTCAAAACCATGGGGTATATCTATGCTTAACTCCACCAGTAACCCCGTATTCCAAATCTTCAACTCCTTCTAGTGCTACTTCTGGAATTTCTTAAATTTTCACTTTGTTCGTCATATACAAAAATTCAGTGATCTAGCACCTCTCAATGGCTCATTATTAATGGTACCATAATAAGTATTTTTTCGTAAATTTCGTGCTCGTGTAGTACGAATTTCTAAAAACCCAACCTTATCCGTAATTCGCAATATCGTCTGAGCGTTGATAAACCATTCAGTCAGTCATTAGTCAATCACTTATCAAATATTAATAGAGATTGATGTGAATTGCCCCAAACTTTGAATCTAATTATGCCAACTACTATGGTGTAAATTATAAATCAAACACAATACATGCTCAATTCCAGAATTTTTTTACGGAACAGTAAACGTATGGTATTTTGTCTGACAAGATAGTTTCTATATTAAAATTGGTATAGATTCATCTAAAGACATTTTCTCTCGGTACTTCAGGTCCTCAGAATTACTTTCCAAACGATTAGGTTGGATTACGCAGTTTTTTTTATTTTCGTTTACACATACTTGAGACAATTAATGTAATTATTAAAGGGATCCATCTAGATGAACAAAAGTACGTCAATTCCACACAAAAAAATCGCAATCGGCCAACGTTTTGGTATACCCAAAACTCCGGGTTAACCATCGGAATTTGCTATTATACGGCTATATGGTGATCTCATTGGCTTTGATTAATGATGTTGGCTCTCACTGGGTACGCCAACTCTGTACAAATGAATTCCGTTTATGTCTCCCAAAAATTTGAAAATTGTGATTGAATTAAAATTGAAAATGAAATGCATCGGTGTTGTCTTTTTGATACCTGTTCCACAAACCATCAAGAATTTCCTATATACAGCACATATAAACGAAACTGAGTTACTGAAACAGCCTCAGCTTGGCCCTGTTTACATAATTCAGACATAGAACAGGATCGTGCTCGGATTGTAGTACCTCACCCTAAAAGGTTAACGTTGCAACTACCAATGACTTTCATAATGTATAAAATCAAAGTCCGATTTTTTAAACTTCGCATATTCCAATTAGACAACAGTAGGTCTCGCATGATGATGCGATGTGTCCTCTCCCCTCCTCTAAATAATCATAAATCTATGCATGTTTAGTGCAAATACCAGTGACAAATAAAAGTCTATATTGGAAAATTTTAACAGGGAGATCATACAAACTATGATTTATTTTCAATTTGTGTTGTGTCTTTGGGTCAGATATATAGCAAAAATCTATCCAGTTTGGGCTGATATTACATATTTGAAATCTGACTAAACTATATATGAGTGATATATACAAATCTGACCTGTTCTCTATGTAGAGTGCATATTACGATGGTGAAGAATTTAAAATCGAATGAAACATATATATGGTAGCTATGGCTTTATCCGAAACTATATTTACTTTAGGCTGGGTCGTATGTGTCAACATTTACTTTATTTGGAAGTGAATATTAATCATTTGGTGCATAACAAACCTGAAATCGGACAAAGCTATATTTGAGAGATATATCTAAATCTGAACCGATCTCCATTAAATTTGGCAGAGTCATTTCTAAGCCATATGAGATATCTGCTATCAAATATCATTGTTTTGTTAAAAACCAAATCAGATACAATTTTCATCCAATCTGAAGTACTTCCTTCCAGGCAGACTTCGGTTGGATTTGCCAAAATCAATCGTATTCGGGCTAATATTAACTTATGGAGCACAATGAAATTGAAATCGGTAGAAAATATATATGGGAACTCGGATCCATTATCATCAATTTCAATAGGGTTTGTCCTTGGACCAAACAAAAGATTTATGGCAAATGTCATCTCATTGGACAAAACTGCGACCTGTACTTCGTTTACAAAATACATAGACAGATGGATTAACATGCATAAATCGACTCAGAATGTGATTCGATGAAAATCTTTAAAAGGAACTATGGGTCTATTGCGTTTCCATGTGCATGTTAAAAACAAAGACACACTCCTATGTGTTACGTAGGATATAAATTTCGGATTAATACGACTTCATTTCGTATTTGAAGACCTCAGGTGTTTAATTTATATATAAACGGACTGCATACAAAAATTCAGTAAGATTAGTAAGATTTACTCAGTGATTTTCAAAAGTAAACAGACTTAGCTCGAAATCAGCTATTTTGAAAAACGAATTTGTATTTGTCTTACAAATTTTCAAGCAAAAGTTTAATAAATTATTGTGTTTCTTGAGAAAATATAATTAGAGCAAAGAACGATGATACGATTTGTTAAATTTACCAAAATTTCTATTCCATTTAAAATGTCAGTTAATTGCTTAAATTCAGATTCAGCAAATCTTTGTGAAAAAACTGTTAACATTTCTTGATTTGCTCGGTTCTACTGGACTTTTGAGAAAACAGACAACATCAAGAAAAATTTGGAGGCTATTGTTACTAGACATCGAAAAAAGAGACAACAATAATCCAACTGATAGTTCAACAATTAAACAGCAGTTACGTTTAGGCTGCCCGAAATTTTAATGACCTCCAGCTTTAGAAAAATAACACCAAAGTACCAAATTTTGATTAAAAAAAATCGATAAAAAATGTCGCTACAATCATCAAAAACACGAATTTGGTGAGCGACCGTTATATCGGGGGTTGTACGAAGACGTGGACCCGCATAAAAAATGTTCTGTCATAACAAGTAGTACTCGTTACGAATACCAAATACCGACTTTAAAACAATTCCGATGAAA